ATAAGTGTTCCTCATTATCATAGCACAGCTTATTGGGATGTTCAGGTTGAGATGAGTATAATTTTGCAAAAGGGACATTGCTCCGCCTCAAGCAGTGACGGTTCGTTAGAGTCACATATAGGCTCTGCACAGAAAGTCCTGAAAGCTCCTGAACAATCCGAGAGACCTTGATGGTGAACAGGATCCATTTTTACAAAACAGATGACCGATGATCCATAAACAACTGAGCCATAGTCCAGTTAAGCGGACGAGCGCTCTGTATGCGACATGGGCAACGCTCCTCCCCAGGAGGTTTCGCCAACCTTTTAAAATATTTGTGTTTTTAGACACTTCTTTCTCAGGTTTAAAACACCGAGAAAGGAAAGTCATTTTCGGTCGCGTCACTCCTAAAATTTACTTCAGCGAACTGGAATAATTGTACTTCAAATTACTCAGGTTCAGGATGGAGATCTCGCGTCCTCAAAAGCAACGCACACAGTTTTCTGTTTCGAAAATGTAATCCCTGTTTGTCTGACCATTCTGGAATCTTATTCAGAGCCATCTGCCTTGCCTCTCTACATATCTCATTCTACTCCTCGACAGCTAATCTGCAGATCATCAAATATATAGATCCCAAGATGGTGGTTGAATTTCTTTTAGTAAAATTTATTTTAAAAAAACGGTTACACTGAGCACACCGCCTTGAGGCACACCCTCTTCCTGTAAAACAATCCGAAAAACTAGCCATTCTTACTTGAAAAGTGTTACAGCAAGAATTTGAATAAATGGTAGGTTGCCGCCAACCACGCCATCTCGTGAAGATTCCCTTAGTTATCGTATCTCCATGCCTTATCATAAGCTTTTTCAATGTCGAAGATTCGAGACAAGGTGGCTTCTTCTTACAATGCTTTCGAATAGATGTCTCTAAGAACATGTTATCTACAGTTGTTTTCTTCCCTTTCGAAAACCACTCTGATAAGGCGATAAAATATCATTCTTTTCCAAGTTACTAGGCGGCTGTTTAACCATCTTTTCAAACAGTTTGCAGAGGCAACTCGTAAGGGCAATTGTCCGATAGTTGGAGGGATTCCTTGGATCTTTCCCGGCTTAGGAATAGGAATTACAACACTCTCCTCCAGCACTGGGAAAGGCACCTCCTTCCCACCCTATTGTAAAGAGTGAGAGGTATTAGGTTGTGATTACAGACAGATGGCTTTAGCATTTCATAATCCTCCTCACCAAGACCCGGAGACCTATGTGTCTGCAATAAATCACTCCTCCTAATTCACTAGTAAATCTCGATTTTAAAGGCTCAGATTTGGAAGAGTTTAAATGCGATGGGTTTATTTCAGAGTGCTGCTCATAGAAAGAAATGCAGGTGTATAGTTTCTGCTGGAAGAAAGGAGCAATGTCCACCAAGTATTCGCAATTTCTTTCTATGGCTATCAATTGGCCATCTTTTTCCAAAAAGGAAAGTGAGTGGTCTTTATATATGCCGCATGCTTTTCGAACTCTTTCCCAAACCCGCTTGCTAGGCGTGAGGATGTTTATTGACGACACATATGAAATCCAGAATCCCTCTGGCTCTGCCTTCTACTTTTCGGGCATTTGCTTTGGCTCTTTAAAGGCTATGAGGTTTCGAGAGATATCTACGAAAATAACCCATGTTTTTTCTGTTTTTTCATGCTTCATGACAGTCGCGATCCCCATGGTTTTGAATATTTTGTTTTTCCTGATGTTCTAGGAATGGAGAGCATAGCTGCCTGAATAATAGTATTAGTAAGCTTCAACAGCGTCATCGATATGCCATCTTCTACCATTTCATCTGTGACTCTGCAATGGAAGAAGAGTTCCCAGTTGCCCTGTCCATATGAATCGAGGGATCTAGACATGGGGTTTGCTCCTCTTCGTGCAAGAGACACAAGAATGGGATAATGATCACTGCTGTAAAGATCTTTACCCACATTAAAGTGCAAAAAGGCAACAGAGATGGTGAACAGAGGCAAGGTCGAGAGCATGGAAGTTTTTGAGGCTCATGGAAGTAAGTATCTTCCCATTATTGAGGAGACAGAGCTATGGTCTTCGATCATCTGCTCAATTTGTCTTCCTCGGCAATTAGTATCCTTACTACCCCAGAGCGACTATGGCCGTTAAAATCTCCTATATGATGAAAGCTCAGGCGGCTGCTAAAGACCATTTAAATCTGCTGATCAATATGCTCATTGGAGGCAAATACGAGAAACGACTGTAACAAAATATCAAATTTGTTGAGTAGCGACAATGGAGGGATGTCGTCAAGAAAGCACATTTGAGGGATATCCAGTGAGGTGAGGAGACCTCACCTCCACTGGCACGCTCACCGCAATGTTATCTTTCCTGACGAAAGAAAACCTCCGAAGTTTTGCTTGTTGTTTCCGGTTTAGATTTGTTTCCTGTATTGCGAAGCATAAAGGTTGATGAACATTGATTATAGCTTTGATGTCGAGCAGATTTCGGTGGAAACCGCGACAGTTCATGATACGAGGTGGCCATTATGAATTTTTTGTTCTTTCTGTGCTCTTGTTTGTTTTTCGTGGAAGTATGCTTGGGAACTCCAGACCCTCTTCTACTTCCAACCGTCTGAATCCGCAGATTCAGAAACCATTCCATCAAAGAGCTTTCTGGAACTTCTATTTTTATTTGTTTCTTTTCGGTGGTAGTTTTTGGGTTTGCTTTGAATTACTATTTCTTTATTTCACTGTATGGGTTGGGTTTTCTTTCTTCTTGTTGTTTGTATCTGTTGAGTTTTGTTTGGTGGCGTCTGCCTACTAACTGAGTTTGGTAGCAACTGAGCGAGATCTTTAGAGCATTGGCGTAAGAGTTATTGGTCGTACTGTGGCTTTGGACTAATCTCTGGCTTCGGCATATGAGATTCCTCGTACCTTTGCATCTGCACTTCTTTTTCCAATTTCCTTTTTGGGCAGAGGCGTGAAATGCTGGTGCTCACCTTGCAATTTATCAAAGAGGGCAGGTACAATTTTCAGAATCGGGCCAATCTGTGACATCGGGCACATGTGAGCTGCCATGACAGACGTCTTAGATGGCCGAAACGCTGGCATTGGAAGCAACGCATAGGTTCGGAATAAGGTCTTACAGGAAATTTAATATCCAGCCTTATATTCTTAGCAGATCAGGCGTGTTGAAGGTAAGGATCACGTGTTTCGTATCGATCAACTTACCTTCCTTACGCATCTTGATCGCCTAGCACCGCAACATTTTGGTCGGATAGCTCGGAACGATCACTTCTTCAGGAACATCAGAGGTCGAATTCTGATATTACGCCACGACAATAATTCATGTCTTATGTGCTGTTCTGACATTCGCTTTTGCCCAAGTTTAGTTATTTGAGTAAAGAAGCAGACTGGGTGGCTGAGATTGTATCAATAAGGAAGTCTCCGGAGCGGAACGCTTTATATTTCTCGCTCACCAATACAAGAATGAATATTTTATTTATTATGAAAGAGACATCTTATGCAGCTCCCAGAAGGACTAGAAATGACTAGGAAACGGGGGCTATGTTATGATTTTTTTCATTTTTATCTGTGCGTATTTTTTTGGCAGTAGACTTTTCAGAAGTAGGTTGATGGCTGGTTAGCATAGACATTTCGAACTAGTTGACGACTGGTTTAGCATAGACTTTCAGACTAGGTTGAGTTACTGTTTAGTAGTAGACCTTTCCGAACTAGGTTGAGTGACGGGAGTGACCTCGAAATCTTAATTAGGTATATATGTGAAGAAGCCATAGTGAAAGAAAAAATGATTCGGGTCCGACGCCCCGCCCACCACGAAGCCCAACAAGGGATACGATTCTTGTTAGGGCTACCGGACCTATACTCAAACTGAAGCCCCACAGTCGGCTTTTCCCGAAAGCAGGTACTCCCGAGAGCTTGACCCCAAGCACTTGACACAAAGACTAGTGACCAGCCGATTGACACCGGAGGACGACTAAGGTGCCTCCCGTTTACTGAAGCAGAGGCCAAGCAGTGTGTTGGGGACAGTACCTCGCCCCTCACTACCAGACCCTCCTTTCAGCGCACGGGTCTCCACGCACAGCAAACACGTGGGCAGTTTTCTCGCCACTCGAAAACTAGAAACAGGTCTTTTCCAGCCTCTCTGATGCCCCAAACTCCTAGAGAGAAACCACAAGGGAGAAGGGAAGGAAAAGTTCCAGCCAATAGAGGAAGACGGAAAAGAGACAGATCACTGGGGCTCCAGGATCGTGACATCCGTCTCATCAAGAGATGATCCCCTGAAGGGTGGGTACCTCGGGATTGCCACACCCGTACTCACAAATGAGCCCCCTGAGGACAGAATGATGCAAATATTTCAGGTATTGATTCTGAAAGTTTAACTGAAAGACCTTTTCCAAAACTTTATTCAGAAGAGACTGATAAGAAAATGATGACATGCTTTGTTGTTCACATTCCCGGAAAAATCCTCCAAAACGCAAAGTTTTACGATGCAAGGAATGTAACGTAGGACTGTGTGTAGATCCTGTTTTCAAATTTTTCATACGAAAAAAATTTAATATATTAGTTTCAGATGCATAATGTTAAAAGTTCATAAAATGGTGTAATGAAAATAAAATGTGTAAAATATGCATTTAAACAGAAAATCGGTAATTAAAGTATATAGTAAAAAAATCTAATAAAGCATAAGCCATTTAAATACGCTATAGAGCATTATTAAACAATTCGTTGATACTCGGAAATTTCATGGATTTAGGCTTAGTAGCAAAAAAAGCCCCCCGGCCCTGGACAGACGCTCGCGTAAGACACTGCCGTCCTCTGCGATAAGCGCGTGTTTGCGCTACCCGGCTCGAAGGGGTTAAAAATGTAAAAATTAAATCTGTAAAAAAAGCCCCCCCAAGGGCAATTCTACCTCTCTCTGAGGTATTGAAAGAGAGAAAACTTTTAATTAAAAAAGGGCAATTCTACTTCTCTCTAAGGTATTAAAAAGAGAGAAATTTTTAGTTATCTCACCTGTGTTAAAAGAGATGGCTGAATATGAAGAGCTTGTGGTTGTGCTGCTTGGGCAACAACAGGAACAACATGTTTTGCAGGAGAATTTAAACCTGTAATATTATCATTTGTAAAATTTTCATTCGCTGTACATATTTACATTGAATGTAAACCTGCACTGCAAGTATTTCAATTACAAGCATCCATTTTACAAATTTAGAAAAATACCCAATATGCTAAATGTAAAACAAAGATTAATACCTTGATAAGATGGGCACAGAATTGATGATACACAGAGTGACTGAGCAGCATGTTGAAAAGGGTCAGCTCTGGCTGCTGCTGCTGCAGCAGCGGCAGCTGCATATTGATTTGTGGCTACAGCTGCTACTCGTGGCTGAGCCTGAGTCTGAGATATGTTTACCCTTGGTGGTGCAGTTACTTGATGAGTAGGTTGATAGAAACTAGTGGACTGCAATTGATACTGGAAAAAATAAATTCAATTTTAAAACGTAAGTTAAATATTATTTCTTTGAATATTTATATGCTTTATGAACTAATTATATTGATCTGTTTATATTTCTGGCCTTTAAAAAATTATACACAATAAAAAATGTTACTTATGCATAATCTCAACTGCAGAAATGTTGGCTCATGAAATATCTCATTGGCAAATGATTTTGCACCAACAGTCATATGCATACATTGCATAATGCAAAAGATTTGCAGAAAACTTTTATGTTTTCCCAATGAAACAAAGCAGCAGTTTTAACATGGCATAACTTATTTAAAACTAAAATTTATATTTTCAACGTATCTGAAGAGCTTCAATACATATGAACTTGTCTTGGGAGAAGAAAGAATTAATAATTGATATACATTTTATTGGTTAATACAGTACAAAGTCTGAAATCCTGACTCGCCGGGACTTCGGCGATTCCGGATATTAGATCATCAGTTTAAATCTAGTCAGATGGCAAATAAAAATTATAAAATTTAAAATATGAAATTGTGATTTATGAAATAATGAAGTATTTATGATCTAAAGGGTATCAAAATTTACAGGGGAAAAAAAAAGCTTAATATTTATTTGTTTACCTTATTAAACATTCCTTTCAATGCAAGTTGCTTCATTTTTAGTGCTAATACTTTCTCTTTAATTCTGTAGACAGACATAATCTCTTGTTAAGTTACATTGTTGAAGTCCTGTAACTGCTATTTCGAGAATTCCGACTCATTTGTAAATCGAATTTTCTCGTTTTCAGTAACTTCTGTGTCACTTTCTTCACTATAGTTAGTTACATTTTCTGGATACTACAGATTTCGCCATTCATTAATTGATTGATAATTAAGAAGCGTTGTCATCACAATGAAAAACTTCTTTTATATCATCTTCATTTATTACCGCTTCTCCACATTTCTTTACAAAATCCATTAACTGGAAAATTTCACCTTTGTTTTGCAATATCCAAAAACCTTTAAAATTAATGGCTATCATAATCAAATTTAGCTATTCTTCACTATACATATTTGGCTATGCATCATGAGCTTGGCGACTAACGAGAAGTTGTTCCATTAAATTTTATCTTGCTTCTATCGCTAATTGAGACAATTAGGCCTGAATGGTATTAGTTTAGTTATTTATTATATTTATGTCTATTTCTTGCACATGCTTAAGGCTTATCAGAGTTCTGAATAAATAGCCACCATATACTTAGCCTTATTGAGGGCTGGCGCTAGATATCTACCGCAGTCTCTGTGGGTCCTATATTCTGTGACTCAATGCGACCATACAAGACCTGGTGCTGGTTCAGGGTTTCTTAATTCAAATAGCCCTAAATGTAATCTTTGGGTCTATGAATAATGATCAACAAAATCTATTTTTAGCATATGGAAAGAACTTTTTAATAAATTGTTCCTTGTCAACATTTTTTTAGAGCATTTAACTTAAATCTGTAATCATCGCCAAGCGTAACGACAACATAAAAGTTTACCACACTCCTGTATTATTCAGTTACTAACATTTAAAAAAAAAATTGTTTAGGCATTGCTACACGAGTCATTACTCAATTTGTCATGTTTTGATAAACCAGCGGTGATGAAAGGAAAGTATAATAAATAATGATTCCCCAGGTTGGCATTGGATCAACGACGTGTATATGTGGAATGTTTCGGTTTGATATGTTTGCCAAGCAGATATGCAGCAACGGAGCCAAATTACTGATCATACAAATTTATGCTAAAATGATTGTTTCTTCCATAACAAAGTATTTTATTTAGTGTCGAAGTGAAATCAAGAATCGGGACTCTCCAGATGTTTTATTATGCGAGGAGGGGGGAATTAAATGCGCATGCGTAAAGCCTATGAGAAAATGGTGGTGGTTTTGAGATCATTTTGGATAATGGATTTCGGATTTGTACTGCACTTGAAAATATAAATTTTAATTTTTAAACTTCAGCTGCATTTATTTGTAATTATATTCTGCCATACATATTTTTAAGACCTGATTCTATCACACTGAGAACCAAATATATTATTGCTACTGCATTTCCCATCGAAATTTTAATCAAATAGCATACCAACATTTCCACTGACAAGACAAAATGTTAAATACCTAAAGCTATAGAGAAGAGAGGTATTATTACCTGATTCTGCAAATTATTAAGTTGGTTATTAAATGCTAAAGCAACATTTGATGTTGAAGATAAATTGCTTACAATAGATACTTGATTCCCATTATTATCAAAAGAGTGACGATTTTTTCTGCAAACTTCCATCATTTGCCCAGATGATTTCACACTGAAATATATATTTCATTAAATCACACACTTCATCATTCTTTTGTTTTTATATATCAGTAAAGTATTCAACCAAATTAAAGCTTACTTGCTACAATGAGCATAGTCAATGAGGTGATTCAATGTCACAAAACTATGGTTAAGGGCTTCTCCTGGTGTTATGCGACGATCTTGATCCAACGTCAGCATCCGTTTAAGCAAGTCAATAAACTCTCGTCTGTCCGCTTTTTCAGCTAATAGCTCTCCTCCTTCTAAATCATTGGGCACATTGACCTATACAGGAAATTAAAGGATATGAAAAAAAAAAAAAAAACTAGTAGCAACATTTAAAATTATAGTTTATAAACAATTTTCCAGAATCCTTGGAAAAACAAGATATATGACAGAACTTACCTACCTCACAGTTTATTTATTTCTACACATTTCAAACTAAGTCCCCCCCATTTGAAATCTTATCTCGCATATTTTTCTCCTAACGCTTCTATCTCGGATTACGATTCATTTGTCAGTTATGGAGCAGGCCATATTTTTTAACAATGTAAGTTTGAACCAAGGAACATTCATCTGCATAGGTCACATAGCCTCTGCATAGTTATAGATCACTATTTTCCCGCTTCAAAAATCCACAAATCCCTTCTTCTTCGTTAGGGATAGGAAATTAGAACAATGGGACTTAAGGAGTTATGAATGATAAACAGGCATTCCAATTTATCCTTAAAAGTAAAGACAAGGAAAGTCCACTTTATTGTGACTTTAGTACTAATTAAGTTTGAGATGCTCAAGTTAATAAATGCAAATTGAAAGAGAAGACAATTAAATGTTCTCGATTAAAGAAATGAAAACCCAAATTTTGAGACAGAAAGGCTCAGCTGAAACAAAAAAAAATCAAAATACTGATTTGATATAAGTTAGGTACTTTTAACTACTTTTCCAACTAGCATGAAGAACAAAATTCATTACGGAGAAGCTTTGACAAGGGAGGGGGAAAGAAATAGTCAGAACTCTTCACTAAATGTAGATAAGACTAAGACAATGGTTTGTGCCATGTCGTAACAAGATCTTGTGCTACACAGGAAGGCGATTTTATTGAAAGAACTTGGCTACAACAGTGAATTCTAGCTAAATGATTGGATCACAGAGCAATTTCCCTCACATAAATCTATGAGGCAACAGATGTCTTCAACATTGTATGATGATGGTAAGAAATGCAGACTCATGTTTAAAATGCCATTTTCAGACAGGATAGAAGCTGATGTGACATATTTAAAAAATGAGCATGTCATTTATCATCCTGTTTCCTACTCTTGGTCACCACATTTTTGGAAAATCTCCATAACTCTGATTGCTGGTTGCAGTGCTACTTGAAGAATATTGTTTATTGCAGAAGATTGATTGCTTACAATAGAAATTACAAATATAAAAGAAGATATGGATAGCACTCCTTCATACACAGGAAAAATCTGATCAACCATCACTTCAAGACTTTAGTGATGCAGATTATCAAATCTGCTGGATTATCGAACTGCAATTGTAGAGTGCTTCAAAGTAATTGCTTTTTGCACTACTGAATATAATGAGAATAAATGTAGTGAGTTGCATATGGTTATTTTGAAAATATATTTCATGAGGTCAAACTTGGTGGTAAGTAAACTTATTTGTAGTTTAATTATAGTAGTTAAACAGTTTTTGCTTTGAAATCACAATTACAGTCAGTGCATGAAGGCTTTCAAATAAACTATTCACATGTTTTAGACACTACTCTTTTTCCTAGCTTTCTTTTTTACTAGCAAAAGTATGTTGCAAATGTTAAAGTATGATTAAACTCAAATACGAGACACATACAGCCCACACAAATATAAATATACAAATATAACATTTAATATTAACATACTTTATGTTTAATTATAAAACATATTCTTTCGTTAAATATATTACTTTCATTTGAATTTTAACAATACTTTTTAAGACAGTACAGCACATAACTTTTATACAACATATAAAAAACAGAATTAACATAAAAATACCTGGGCCATGTCATCCAAACAATTAAAAATATATTTTCTGGCTTCTTTTGATTTGATATTAGTTTCACCTTCATGTTCCTCGGGTGTCTAAAATGAGAATAAAAACTTTATCATTGAACTGAAGAGATATCAGAATGCATTAAAACACAAATTTATGTCTTAAAGACATTAAAAAGGTGCATGCTTTAAAACCAAAATAAAGAAAAGATTAGACTCCCTTTTAACAGACCTAAATGGGATTGGGGTCAAGCCGGTTAAGCAAAATTCTGGTTAAAAGCGGAGAATGAGAAAAAGTTACTTAATTGATGGAACAAAAGTTTTACATACCATTATTAGCAGGAATGTTTAAAAAAATTCAGTCATTTTGTTTTCTGTCGAAGGCTGGATATTCAGCGACTTGCTGCATAATTTCATTATATTTTTAAAAGCATTACATCAATGGAAGAAGCTTATGCCTGTTGCTTAATACAGCATAAAATTATTTCTAATGCTTTTGCTCCGCTTGTATGTGATATAGTGCAGGTGGCATGCCGTCAATGTCGAAATAATAAACCCATCGGCGACCAACCACCGCTCCACAACTTCACCATACAAAAAGTTACTACTCTTTAGTTACTATACTAAATGCCTTTGGTGGACCTTGGCATTCACTAAAGACATTTGAATGATGACACAAAGTTGTCAGTAAAAGTCTGTCTCTTCAACTGTGGTGACTCCCTCTCCTTCTACGTTTCTTTGATATGGTGAATGAAGTTTCCGCCAAAATTTTATGATTGTAGATTCGGCAATCTCTGACCGTGACTCAGCTATCAAATACATAGCTTCTTTCATATTAATCGCTTTAAATAAATAAATTGATAACACTTGAATCGAACATGCCGTCTCTATTATTAAACTGCATTCTAATTGACATTTTCCCCACCCATATTTGGGGGACCTTTTACTTTTGAATAAAAATGACAGTGCAATACCATTAATGCACAAAGTGTTTCCTTTTTATAAGTTTATTTATTTCTTATTTCGTACTTAACATGCATAATTACGAAATTTTAAATTTTTTTTATTTTCATAGTTAAATTAATTATAGCTGTCAATTAATCAGGGATTTGGTTAAACGGAAGCTAGTTAAGATGGCATCTACTGTAATCTGACTTTTTTCCCAACTTTAAAATATAATGAATAGCAGCTTAGTAAGGCCACACTTTTGTACACCAGCTGCATGAATAAATCTTTTTATATGAGAATAAAATTTATAATTTGTCTTTTGCATTTCCTCTTTATTTATACCTCCCTTTTTTGCGATATAAATATAGCAAGGAATATTATCACATAGGCTGCACATTACAAAAAAATCTGCAATAATACTAGACATATATACATACCCACACATACATCACCACAAAATCTGAGAGACCATAAAAGTCTCCCAAACTACACAATTTTATAATTTTATTTCAACATTTGACTTACATATTGTTTATACCTGCATGCACAAGGAACCTTTTTTTTTTTTTTTTAATCTTATTTCTCAAACCCACATTATTTTTTAAATAAGGAAATTTCTGAATTAATATAATCCAGATACCAAACTTTATTAGGTCTTTATTACATTATGTTTCACAATGTTTCTCTGCTTTGAAAATTATCCTTGAAAACCTGTCAACTCTAGCCACAAACAAACACTTGATCAAATTTTCTTGCACTACGAATTTACAAGTTCTTTAACATAGGAATTAGTAAAAACTAAGCTATTTCAGCCCTCTCCAGAATGTTTAAGTAAAAAAAAAAAAAATCTGATTACATATATACAGACATGAAACCATGGCATAGAACCTGTTCAAATATAGTTCAAATGGCAAATATTATCTTAGCAAACTTGCAATCATTAAAAAGTATCAAAATACTGTCAAACTCATTCCACTAGAATGCAATGAAAGATGCAGGCACATAGTCAGCAATGATTCATTGATTTTAGCTGCTACATTTTTATTATTTTTCTCCCCTTCATGACAGAAAATAATGTAGCAGTGATTTTTAAATAAGTATTTTATGTATGATTTACAAAAATATTTCATATTTTAAATATATTTTTATGAAATTCAAAAACATTTTATAAAAATTTTTTTAAAGTATCTTTTAAGGTTTTTTCAATTGTTCCTAATGTGATAATGATTATTATGTAATCAAATTTTAAGAGGTAAGCCCTTGTTTCTATCTCTAATAAGGAAAATTTTAGTTTTAATTTGAAATTTGGTAAGCCAGTTTAAATACTTTAATTGTCATATATTAAGCAACAGTCACTTTTTTAGTATCTGTGAAATAAACACTATACTATTTTGCCATATCTCAGGTAAAGGAAAGAAAAGAAAAAAATTCAGACACAATGAAATAACTTACTTTGAGTCGCCAAAAGGGATAACTGCTGTCAGTCTCACGAAAAAAGAAACGTGTTGTCTTAGTTGCTGCATTTAACATGTGTTCAGCAGGTAAACCTTGAGTTTGGCTTATATAGCGAATCTAAATAAACAAACAGTTAATAAATAAATAATTGTATAGTGAAAAATATATACAGTGATCCAAAAGTCAAACTTTTTTAAAAGCTTGCATTTTAGAGAATGCACAATTCTATGCAATGAATTAAAACTTAAAAACACATATAAAAGATAAAATTTTATAATGTAAATTTATTAGTAACAATTACATTTCCTAGGTGATATTATAGTAGAATACTGAATACATAACTCTGCTTATAAATTATCACTGCCACAAGACAGCATTTCACAATTACGTTATGAAGGTGAATTTATTATGAGGGAAAAAACAAATATTGGATTTTTCGATCTACAGGCACAATGAAGAATTACTGCATACTGCTTCACATATGAAAACTCAATTTTCAGAAAGAATGCAGTCACGTTTACTATAAATTATCATCAAGGTCTCCAAGCCTAAATTCTGTGGTTTTTTTATTAAGAAAGTTAACTGAAGGGAGGGCAGGCAAAAGTCACATATTCTAACTGCACGCATCAGTGATTCCAATAGAAATGCTTTTTGCGTATTATCCCAATGTCTCAGCTCATCATCATATATAGCTTCATTATGACATAACAGTCAATATTTATTAAAAAGGATCTGTGCCCAAACAAGATAGTGATTAATGACTGATTATTATACCGAAGGGCTCAGTTCAAATCCTAGAGAAGGCATACATGTTTGTAAATAAAAAGCATCTTTGCGGCATGGGGGCACTCTGTACATATGCTGAACTGAGAGTCCTCTCATGTGGATTGCTGGTAGGGGATGACGTGTGGAATACCCTCGGACCCACCTCCCAAGGCACGCTTCCTCAATGCAATGGAAAATTGTTCTGTCACCTACATGGTGACCATGGCTCTTGCCAACAACAGGTGTTACTTATACTCTTTGTTGCAATGAATTTTGTTGGCTTGTTCTGATGTCAGACAAGCGATATTAGTCAAAACAATAAAAGTGATTTGTAATTTGGTGCAGATGAAGCATCATTTTGTGCTTATGACTGTAATGTCTGCTATTGTAAAAGCACATTTTAATATTTTTATATATGTAATAACTATGTAATAACAACTCAGAGTCCTCTCATGTGGATTGCTGGTAAGGGATGACGTGTGGAATACCCTCGGACCACCTCCCAAGGCACGCTTCCTCAATGCAATGGAAAATTGTTCTGTCACCTACATGGTGACCATGGCTCTTGCCAACAACAGGTGTTACTTATGCTCTTTGTTGCAATGAATTTTGTTGGCTTGTTCTGATGTCAGACAAGCGATATTAGTCAAAACAATAAAAGTGATTTGTAATTCGGTGCAGATGAAGCATCATTTTGTGCTTATGACTGTAATGTCTGCTATTGTAAAAGCACATTTTAATATTTTTTATATATGTAATATATAACAAAATACGATGGCTGCTTTAAAAATAATTGGCGACCTCAAAATTAACTATTCTATATTTGGTGCTCTTCTCATAAATTCATCTGTTCTCCCAAATTCGAGATCTTTCTATGTTATATAACAATGCTTGAAAAATGAAACTAAAACCCAAATATAGCTTAGCAATACTTTGTGCACCTATCTAGTATAAATACTGATTCATGAGGCAATTACGCCCCTTCATTCCTTTCCCTAACTTCACCACTGTTAACATATCCCTACTGCCCTGCTTGCTTGTCTAGAAAGATGTCGCCCTCCGTTAACCTGTGTATATAAGAAGTTATTGTATTCAAATATAATTTGTAAAATATCTTGTCTGCAAAAGGATAGTTTTTGATATGCATTAAAATAAAGATTGGTGATTTGTCAGAATCTAGTTTGTCTCGTCTTGCTACTCTGCCATCCAGCCTATGCATCAAAATTATTAAATATATATTTACTGAATTTAAATTCCCTGTGTATAACATATTTAGATCTTAAAAAGACTCACCTGGTCATATTCTGAAGATCCTGGATACAAAGGCCAACCCAGAAATAATTCAGCTATGACACAACCAAGTGACCACATATCTATGGCTTCACAAAAAGGTAATCCCAGAATAATTTCAGGGGCTCTAAAATTAAATAAAGAATATAAATTAAGGCAAAAAAAGCAGCTTGTTTGTTTATAGCCATTCTGCTAATTGAATTATTAATGATTTTTAGCATCCTTTCTAAATTTGATTACTAAATTAATGCTGCCAACAACAACAAAAAAAAAAAAAACTTCACATAGTAGAACACCTTTTACACAGGTTTTTAATCTTAAATTTGGAGGGGGTGAACCTTCGTTCAGGAAATCAATACATATCATTCTTATAAAAAAATTGAAACTTTTCCAATTTCAAAATGTATTATTTATTAAATAATTAACATAATATTTAAAAAAATTCCCTCTACTTTCCTTAGATACGTTCATTATAACACTGTTTTTATTTACCTATAATACCGAGACTGCAAATAAGTGGAACACACAGCTTTCGATACATGACTGGCAGATCCAAAATCTATAACCTTGACACGAAATGGATGACGTCCAGGTTCCACTAACATGATATTTTCTGGCTTTAAATCAGCATGAATGAGACCAAGTTGCTATCAAAAGAGCAGGTAATTAATTCGATAACAAATGAAAAAATATAAAAAAGAAAAGAAAAGCAACTCAAAAATTATATTAATATGCTTTTCATAATTATATTTAACAAAATTTAGAATGATATATAATGCAATCATAATCTCAGATTTTTACACATGAATTTTAATTTGTGTATTACACATTTAAATAAAAATTCAATAAAATAATTCGATACTTGAACAATCAAGGCTTGACACTTGGAAGATGCAAACAGATGCAAAAAAAACAACTACTTATAGATCTTTTCCCTACTACGGCTGTTTTCTAATAATTTATTAAATTATAAATAATATTACAAACAATAATGTAAAAATTTTTACTATACATTATGTACTTATAAAACTGAAGATGAGAATAATGTTTATTTTCAACTAAATTAAAAGTAAAAGTGGATTGAACGTGGGCGTTTTACAATACTCTCCTGAGTGGGATCGTAGGCAGTAAGATTTCTTATGCCAGAGTAAGGAGAATTTTGCATACTTGTGAAAAAATCGTGTGCCGTGGTCATAATCTGTTCTTGAATTGGTAGAATTTTTAACTCTTCATAGAGCTGCGAGTTTCTTATGAACCAGGGAGCGTTTGTAATACACTCATGTCCATAAATTAAGGATAATGCAAAATCAGGCAAAGGAAGAGTTAAAAGCAAAACAAATTTGACTTATCTGTAAAGCTTATTTATTAAACGAAAGGTAAAGAGCAAAAAAAGATGCTATATGTTAATATTATTAAAAAAATTAGCGATTTTTTCTCCCTGGAGCAAATTAAAAAAAAAAAAAAACCTATTTACAAAAAACCAATATTATATGGTTGGTATGATTGTTAATACATTGTATGTCTCCCAGACGATGCAATACAGTCCGTACAACGCCTAGGCATGCTGAGTATCAAATAATCAATCTGATCTTGGGGGATATTACACCACTCAAAAAACAATGCTCTCCAAAGTTCCGGTAGACATGTAGGAGAAGGTTGACGGGCTGCAACTCGTCGGCCAAGCATGTCGAACATGTGCTCTACTGGTTTCAAGTCCGGTGAGAATGCTGGCCAGTCCATACAGGTGATATCCTCCGACTGAAGGCATTCGCTTACGAAGTTTGCATGATGAGGACGGAAGTTGCCATCCATAAACACAAATTGTGCACCCTTGTTCCAGAATGACGTTGCGATAGATTTGGCTTGTCATGGTTCCAATTTGAACATGCAGGTCAGTTCTGGAACCCAGAATAATTCCACCACAAACGAGCACTCCTGCACCACCGTAACAGTGTCGTTCAGCAGTGGTAACGGGTACCTGGAGCTCTCCATAAGAAAGTCTGGCGAGAATCTGACTGCAAGCTAAACCTGGACTCGTCGGAAAACATCACACAAGCCCACTGTTGCGGTGTCCACAATGCATGCTCTCTACTCCAGGCTAACCGCAGGCGACAGTGAGTTGCAGTAAGTGGAACGCATCTGACAGATCTACGAGCATATAGACCAATCTGCCCTAAGCGTCTGTACACGGTCTGCCTTGAAATTGTCGTACCAGTGGCTGAAGGGAGCTGACGAGACAGGTCTGAGGCTGTGCTCCGCCTGTTTCTTTTGGCAGTAACTGCCAAATACCGGTCCTCATTCAGCGTTGTAACTCTGGGCGACCTGTGCTGTAACATCTACTCATATTACCATAATCTTGGAATCGTTGCCAAAGCCTGGAGATGACACTCTGGGCAATTCCAAGTTCGTCTGATACTTCCAGTTGGGTACGCCCATATTCCAGACGGCCAATAATTCTACCACGTAAAAAATCCTCCAAATGTGTCCTTTGTGTCATAACTATTCGGTTATTGTACTGAAATGCTTATAAAGCGCCTGCGAATAATTTTACTTCTTTGCCTGTATTCTTTATATATCACTCTCTTCATTGTGACATAACATCGGTGTCATCTGTTTACTTCCTAAAATTTGCATATGATTCTTGAAGATGTGTGTAGTGATTTTACAGGTGATATATTTATTTTAGAGTTCGATTTCCGTGTGACTCCAAATTATCCTTAATTTATGGACATGAGTGTATATATGTATTTAACTGCCTCCACTGCTGGAAATAGTACACTGAATACTTTCGAATATTGCAACATGCAAAAACAAATTAAAATCAGATTAAAATTTATTCTTTCCTGGCTTGTTCCACACACAGAACAATGCAGATAATAAACAACAGGAATTAAAATCACACTTTGAACTTCAGGGATCAAGAGTTTGGCACACTGTATCGATCTGACAGGAAAAAAAGGCTATATATTTCCTCACACATTTTCCCTTTTTTACCTTCTTGTACAAAGAAAAGGATGTATTGTAATCTAAAAAAATTTTGGGTATCATATTTCAACAAAAATATCCATTTTGACAGCCCTCAAATTTTATCTGAACACTTTTTAGTGTGACATCTGTATGTATGGAGTGAATTAAAGGTTCTTCTGTTTCCAAAATGGATCGTAAAATGAATTCAGAAGAGACTTTTTTCATGTCATCTGTACGTATATGCATATGCATGCATCTCGCATAACTCAAAAATGAATAGCCGTAGAATGTTGAAAATATTATTAGGTGCTATAATATGCAGTTGTGTACCTCCCTTTTTCGTTCCCATCGGCTGTATACAAATAAACGTATATAAATATAGTTCATCTCTGTTACCAGGCTTAATGAGCTCAGTTTTTTTTTTTTTATTTTTATTTTTATTATTATTATTATTATTATTATTATTATTATTGGTAAAACGTCCACATTTTTTTTTTTTTTTTCTTTAAAAGTGATTGAATTATGTTGTTTTTAAGTTTTGGTTACGATTTTTTACGCAGTGGTTAATCTGCATGCAACAGCTGTAAAATTATCAATAATTTAAAAGAGGCAAGGCATTAAGCCTAATGAGGGCACCATTAGTTTACATTAGAAACTCTTAGTAGAAAAGTGAATTAAGTCAGTTGGTGCACCAACTTCAGTGTCTTTTTGTTCAGTGGAGCCAAAAGTTAACTTTGTACACCAAAAATTTTCTTCTTCATGCTGACCAAATTGCTTGTTTTCGCATAGAAACCCTAAATTGTAAAACTTATTTTTTAAAGTTGCTTTTAACTGTATTTGGTGCTTTAGGTTTTTCTGTATTCGACATATTTTAATTGAGATGTTTTGAGTTTTACACATTTTTGCCTTGCTGCAAAGTATGAACTGAACTGATTGATGAGAAGGATGGAGAAGCTGATTGGATGATTCGAGGAAGAAATATACATCGAGGAGAAATAGTCGAGAATAATGAAATTTAAGGAAGTAAGTTTAAATGACAAGCAACAAAAAATTGGTATAATTTAATAGGCCATACAAGGAAGTCATGCGGCATCTACATCAGATATTTTTTAATAATTTTATTGCTTACAAAACAAGAGGGGAAAATTACCTGAATAATTTACTTTCCGAAGGATGTGATTACAATAAAAACATAACAAATTAAAATTGGTCGCAGATAAATTACAAGTAACTATTGTATTATTTTTCAAAAAAGAAACTTACATTAAAAGAATACACAGTAATATTAACATTACAATATCTAGTAGGATATATTTATTTCTACTTCCTTGTAACCTGAATCTCAGCCATTTTTAGTATTGTCCCTGCTACTTAGGCCACAAATCATCCATAAATAAGGTGAATGTGCAAATGACTCATCAAAATTCTAGACTGAATGCCAGTTCGCATCTGTTTCATTGTGATGAGTAGGCTCTTGTATTAGACTGGCATAAAGTGCAATTATTATAATAGAAAGGTTTGGCACAACCTTTTGCAAAGTCTTTGTTTGAGAGATGAAAACAATCACTATAAGGGCAAATTCATTTTAGAATTTAGCAGTGATCCTTTTCTGAATGCACCAAGAAAGAATTATGAAAATATTAAAAACATTTTTAGAAACTGTAACTAAAAAGCTAAAGGGAAAAAATGTGAGAGAATCCAGTAAGAAACACAGAAATTGACTGATGAATCACAAAAAAAAAAAAAAAAAAGACTTACATTGTCAAAAGCAGTGAATAATAAAGTAATTAAAAAAACCAATTACAATTTAATTACAATCATTATTAAATTTGATGTTCATTCTTTATTTTTTTCTAATTTCATCAAAAGTTCCCATACCTATCAAATATTTTCAGTGTGTTGTGTTTCTTCAACATTTTTGTTAGAAGAAAAAAAAAAAAATCTTCGGCATCAGCATGTCTCATTTTAATTTCTGTTACAATATCCTCCAATCTTCACATATAACAACATTGTCACCGCCACATGTTTGAAAAAACTCCATATCATTCACAGCTCATTCTGAAAATACTTAAAACGCTGTTTTTTTTTTACTAGCCACTTATCAATAGGCAAATCAGCTTTTTCTACTTTTTCCTAGTATCTAAATCTTTTAAGTGTGAATTACCTTGTCTTTGTTTTTGTATATGGTATAACAGCTGTAGATTTGGATAAACTGCATTCCAGGGAAATGCAATTTGGCTATAATAACCCATCTGCATTTTCCAAATAATGCTCTTTTTATCTTTAAGGCAGAACTTTTTATTTTTACATCTTGTTATGTGAATTAATTTTTGACACAAACACTTTCACCAATACAGAGTACACAGAGGTCAAAGAACTTTTGTGCTTCTGGATGAGAAAAAGAACATATCACCTTTAATCTGTCTAATGCAACAGTCAATGAGAATGGAATCATTCACCCCAAAATAAGTAGAGTTGCAAATCAAAAGTTTTGTAGCTTTATAAAGAATATCTTAAACCTTGCAAAACATCTAAAGAATTCACCTTCCCCCAATTAGATAAGACAAAACTTGTGTGTTTTAAATGAAACAAAACAAACCACATAAGAATAAATTTCCATTCCCCAGAAGATGAATAATCCATACGACCCCATGCTTGCAAGTCTAATTACTCCCGCTTCCTCTGAACTAAAAATTCTCAAATTTCCATCATAGCATCAACCAATAACAAAACTCTGTATGACAGTTTAACAAAAGAATCCAAATGGATTAAATAGGTTCATTTAAGTTCTTTAATTCAATGGTACACCATATGCTTGTGTGTTCTGGTTCTCCGTGAATTTTGTGTTACTCTGCCTCGCATAGCCTTTGCTTAGAAGTGGAAGATCTTTTTTTAGGGGGGGGAGTAAGAAGCTAAATAAAAGAAGAGAAATGTAGAGGCATTTTCCAAAATATGGATGAATTTAAGGTTTATCAATTTTTGCAAGACAATTGATACAGATTCTGGAAAAAATATGAAAAACAATTTCAGTTGAAGATATCCATAAAGTTTGTTATTTACACTAAAGGAGATTTGCTATAGCAGTAAAGTTTGTCATTTACACTAAAGGAGATTCGCTAGAGCCATATTAACATTAAATGTAAAGGAAATTTACATTTACAATGTACAAATTTTATGTAATACAATGTACTAAATACAATGTATTAAATACAATGTACAATTTACAATGTACAAAAAGTTTGTACATTACACATAGATTTTATGGCTAATCTTTGGAATATGGTAACAGGTAGTTTGGCGACATTTTGGTAAGGCGATAAAGGTTACTAGCTAGAACTGTGTACATGGATATATTCAAGAGGGTGCGCAATGCCATTTTTGTGCAATTCTGGGATGTTTTTTTAAGTGAAAATAGGTCGACGTACATGAATGATACCGTGTATGTGCAATTAGTAAAAACGCGGCAAGCAGTTTGGCGAATCTGCACTTTGTCCCAATTTCGCACCTAATCTTCGTCATGATTAAGCACTTTTGTTCCATGAAAGTTCTAGCATAAGCGTAATTCGGCTAGCAGATTGTTGGAAAAAATTTTGAGTAAAAAAAAAAAAAAAAACATGCCTTTACTTCGTGAAAACAAAATGGCGTCCAAACAAAAACTAGCAGGTTGCTGTAGCAGGGTTGGTCGCCAAATTTTTGCCAAAAAATCGCCAAGTTACCATAATCCAAAGATTAACCGGTTTTATTACAAACCGAGTTAGCTGTAGCATGGTTTGACAATACATTTTCGGTACATTTAAGTATTAAAAAACAGGCAATACACATTGCAAAATGCTAAAAATAATAATTAAAGAAGTATGTCACTTACTTTTAACTTAAGAAGAGCTGTTAAAACTTGTTGTAAAATGGGACGGATATATTTCAATGGTAATGGGCTAAACTTGTTTTGCTTAAGGAAATCATAAAGATTTTGTTCCAGCATTTCAAATACAAGGCAGGTATGGTTCTTGTGGTTGAAGCACTCATATACACGTACAAAGTTGAACTGAAGAAGAAGAGAAATACAAATTCTTAAGTTCTTCCGTTTCACGTGATAAATCATCATGTTGTTATAACATAGTTAGAAATACTACTTTGATATTTTACAATTTGATACAATAAACTTTCTGTAAGACAACAACCCAGATGATTTTGGTCTTTGGTAGAGGTGGTCATTTCCGAAAAGATCAATGAAGGTAATGATAAATTTGCATAATGGCTTTATCTTGGTCAATGTTATTGGCATCAGTTAAAAAAATACTGAATAGAAGTGTACTGAATAGAAGTGTATACGAGTTTATTATGTAGTAATAAAATAAAAATTTTAGTATCTCTACTTCCCCCCCCCAAAAAAAAAATACTGAAAATTTTATTTTATAACTCAACTTTCTTCCACAATCAATAATCAATCCAAACTTTTCTTTTAAATCATTTCCCTTTCTATTATAGTTTGAATTTCCTAAATTTAAGTCGACCGATTTATTATTTTCCAGATTAAAGCCTGTTTTAACTCGTACAGACTCCAAAACTTAATTGGGGGTGGGGGAAATTGAAATTCTCTACCTTCCTTCTCCAGCAGCATTTAAGCAGAAGCACAAGCAAACAATTTAAGAATTTCTTTTTCCCCAGCTATTCTTCAAGAAACAAACATTCACTCACTGATAGAAATAGTATTAAAGAAAAAAGTGAAATGCTTTTAGTTTCGCTTGTTTCAGATTCCAAACATATATAGGTGGGAAATACCAAAAATTATCGTAATAGTTTAAAAATGTGATGAAACATTTCAAGAATCTTGCATCATAACAGCTTAATCAAGCTCATATATATTGTTAAGTTTTTCATTTCTGACACCAGTTGTTACGTTATTTTCTTCCTTCACATTCGTATGGGGTTCGTAGATTTGGAGTGAATAACGACGACACTTGATGCTCGAAACACTTTATTAGTCAGTATTGTCAGGACCAGTTTACGTCGGGAAGAACTCTATAACAATACATGCTGGAACAATCAGCGACACAGCCTTCACACTGCCAGGCAATACAGGGAACAGCTTCCTGCAAAGCACAGGTACAGCTCCTGCCTCTGCTGGTCGTCTCAAACTCCACGTACTCTCTACAACTCTCCACGTACAATCGTGATGCCTCGATGACACCGAGCAATCTCCCGACTCTCGGTTCAGCGTTCCCGAAGCTCAACACGCTCTCTCGACGATGCACTAACCGCGCACACTAGCAATCTTCGATGGACTCAACACCCACTCGGCACTCACGCCGGCCGCAACTCGATCGACTCCGCAGGGATTGACTCGCTAGATGAGACACACTAACTGACTGCGGACCAGCAGGGTTTATATAGCTTTCGGACTTGTGTTTGAAAACATTCTGGGCAAACCGGTAAGAATACGTTCCAGAAGGTTCTCTATCAGCCCATGGGATATCGCCTATTTTGTCGTCAAACGGGCGATTTCTCGCCAAATGTGGCAACCATGTTTTCCCTTGCCATTTTATGGTAGCCTTAAAACTGCTTTGCGGGAAAGCCATCTTACCGAGCCTGTACATTTCGTAACAATATGATAAACTATACCACACTGAGACAGGATAAAATTAATTAGAAATGATTACCAACTATTTTTCATAAAATGCTTTTACTTTTGTTAAATACAGCCTGTAATAACTTTTGTAAAATCTTTTACTTTTGTAAGAAACGGAAATATCTCTTGGTTCACCATAAAATATTTTTAGTGATAACAAAATTAGATATTTTGGTGGGGAATTTACTACACATTGGATTCTTGACTGGATTAATTATCTTAGAGAATAAGAATATAATCAATATATATCTACTTATGTTCTAAATGGTCATCATTTTCAAAGTTGGTGTTAAGGGAGATCAATGTATTTTGGATTTGAAGACTTTATTGATGAAAATCCCACACAAAAATTTTCAGCAAATATTATAGACATTAAAACATTCTGCAAGTTTTGGACTTTAAAGTAGAAATTCTGAATTTGATTCATATTTAATTTTTAAAAAAATGCACCTAATTTTTATACATTTAATAATTATGTTACAGCATACATGAAAACATTTACAAAACACGCATGCTAAATGTACCTCGTCAGCATTTTCTTGACTTAATCTGTGAAGAATACTGACTTCAATTTGACCTTGCCGTGCATATGATGGGTGATTTTTTAAGATCTTAATAGCCACAATCTCATTGGTCCCTTTCTTCCAGCACTTAACCACCTGTCAAAAATAAAATTAAATAAATTTAACTTGTGCTCTGTAACCTAGTTTAAATAAGAAGATACTAAGTCCTTACATTTTGTTTTGTATAACAAAAACTATGCATTTCTAATAGCCATTAATATTTTGAAAAATTAATGTAATTTAATACATCTAAATTAACGTTCAACAAACTTTAATTGGAAGGATATTCCTTGAAAAAGAATAAAATTGCAATTAATGCAAAAATAATCATTAGGATGTATTCATACTTTGTTTTGAAGCTTACCTGACCAAAGGTACCCCTGCCAAGGAATTCCAATACTTCATATTGGTTAGTAGTTGAGTATAAAACCTCATGCTGAACAAGCTGGTAATCTCCCTCGCTGTTGGAGGAATTAGCTTTTGCTGTAGTTGGCGCCGTGGTGACAGATTAAAATGCCAATTTGTGACTAACCGATTTAAGAAGCTTGAGTTGTCCTTTGGGTTGATGATTTTGTTTATCAACCAATGAGAAGACTGCTGAAGCATTGTCTATACCTTATAAATGGCATATCAGGCCTCACTGCAGCTATTAAAAATTTTTAAATCACATTTTAGTTTTCACAGTAATTTTATTAAAATTATAGGTTCAATACATTATTTTCTTACACAAAAAAGAAATTTTATTACACTACTAGCTAATACAAATAAATTTAATACTTTTAACAAAACAGATGTCTAAAAAAAGTTTTTTGAAAGAATTAATAAAGTCAGTATGGTTCAAATTTGTATCATACACAATATAATTAGATGCTAAATTTACAAAATTATTTACACGGAAATGGTGAATACAATCAAAAGTCTTTAATCCGGACGTCCATAATCCAGAATGATCTATAATCTGGACCTCAAAGCCACAAACTTTCTGTGCATGCGTCAACTCATGAGCATAATATCTTTACACATGCGTGTTTAATGTATAACGGACGGTATAAGCTAAGCTAAAATTATCTATTTCAGTTAATGTTGCAGACTGCGTTGTTCCTTAATCGTCTAATTAGATCCGGCTTATTGTGCAGACTGTTAGAGCAATTTTATAAAAGTAAGCTTGAACTTCCGATTATGTCAAAAAGAATTTCCGATTCTGGAGCTACTAAAGGATCTACAAAGCGAAAGCATGTTTCGATGTCCATCAAACAGAAAGTGGAATTACTGCAAAAAAAATGGATAAAGGCATATCCTTTGATTCTCTAATCATTCTGAAATATGTTTTAATTTCACGCTGCTCTGCGGTGGGGAGGGAGGACGACCGAGGCTTGCTATGAACTGGAAGTTGATCTGTCAGCACTATCCTTATCTTAAAGGCAGCTGTTTTTATTTTATTCAGTTTATAATTCCTTACTAAATGCAGTATTTCATCTCAATGTACTCCGTCTTTGATATGATTTAAATCAAATTCCTCGTCATTATAAGTATCACAAATACACATCAAATAGTTTTTTGGTTGCAATTTTCTAATTTCGACTATGCATAATGTATGCTTTACGCATGCGCGCGTTGAAAGGAATGTTTAATAAAGTAAACATATAAATATTAAGCTTTTTTTGTGTGTGTGTGTGTAAATTTTGATACCCTTTAGATCATAATTGCTCTTTATTTCATAAATTATGGTTTCATATTTTTAATTTTATACTTTCTGCGTGCCATCTTATCAGATTTAAACTGATGATCTATAATCCAGAAAAACCGATAATCCGGAATTGCCGAAGTTCCGAAGAGTACGGATTAAAGACTTTTGACTGTACTACAGTTTATAATCTGAAGTCTTTGACTAAGAAAATCTATGCTTACGAAACTACTAGAGAGGAAAAACGCCCACATTTAGAGAGATTAAATAAGAATACACTTATATACTTATTGATACTATATTTAATAACATGCATTTTTATTTTAGAATACACTCATGCAAAACAGTTTCTTACCTAATGCAAAATAAATTCTGATTGGAAATATATGCATATTTGAAGCGGAAATATAAAAATTACAACACAGCAAAGGTACCTGTTGTACATAGTCAACAAACAAGCATTCCTACTAAATAATCACATATTTTATTTACTTCTTCAGCTTCTTTTAGGAGTAAAATTTTTACTTATCAATCAATTTACTCCTTATACAAATAAATAAGTTTCAAGATTTGGTATGGAATTTTAAAAATAAGACTGTCAGCTTTGGGGGGGGGGGGGGAAAACATTTTTTAAAACAAGATTACAATTCTTAAAATTCTCTACTCGTTAAAACTCAAAAGAAATAACTAAAATTTTATGATTGATTTATTATTAACTTTAAAAATAGACATTCTGATATAACTGCAACTTTTAATGATATTCCGCAACTCATATTTTTTTTTAATACTAACATAAGCATTTCGTTTCAAGGAAAGATAGTAATTTTTGGTTGCATTTTGTTTATCAAATCCAAAACTATGCTTGCACTATATATCAGATTCTGTTAACTGTCAGTGCACCTACCCAATTTATGATATAAAACATATAATAAATTTTCAGTATAATATTCGTTCTACAATTTACTAAAAATATGATAAATTCTAATAAGAATAACTAAATAAACATGTTTCATTAGCTTTTATAACTACATACTTTATAAGTTTCTTGCTTGTGATGTTTCCAGACCAAAACAAAGAGGTTTTACAAATACAAAAGTGAAAGTCCCATGTTCCATCCATCTTAAAAGCAGTTATTATTACAAGAGGAGGTTGAACTATTTTTACAATGATTCAGGTTCCATAACATAATATGTGTGCTTCAGACATCATGACACTAAAAATAAAGAACATAAACAAATTTCAAATGTTAAATATTGAGTTCATACACTTAATGTTTACAAAAATAAAGATGAAATTTTAATACCTAAATACAAAACAGCATAACTATAAATATAAAAGTAAGTGCTCTGCAAAAGTTTCTCTTATATTACCTTTATTATTATATTAATTTTCAAGCATTATTATTATATATCTGCGGTTTGCGAGCTACTTGCTATTCTTTGCATCTGAAATGCCACTCGTTTTGAATAACTATAGTTTAATATCTGAAATCAAATGGAAATTGAAATAGAAATCATGCAATACCATGTTTCTTTATTAATCGCTAATTTAATTTGATATTATCTATGTAAAAATTTGATAGATTTCAAAACTGTCCACTGCTGTTTTATCGCCAGAGCAACAAACATGTAAAATTAAAATAACCCAGTTCTGGCAATTACTACTTCGGTTATGTTAGTTTTTGAACAGGTAATGGTCATATCAATTTATCTATCTTGACATTAAAAATAAATGCGATAAAGAAAATTAAGTATTTTCTGATTATCTGACACCACACTGAAAAGCTGAGAAAAAAAAATTGTGAGGCAATGCAATATGTCAGAAAAATAGTTATGTGGCAATCTACAGTGTTGCCAAATTTATGCAACAACCAAGGTATGCATGTAATGCACACATACTAAGTGTATGTGAATTTGCACTTCTGAAATTGAAACATCATTTTTCTGCTTAGTGTTTCTTCTTGCATCGAGTACTTTCATGGAAATGATTTAAATAATTAATTCTTATATATAAAGAATATATTTCTTGCAGCAATTTGCATCTTTCTGACAGTCTTGATTTTAAGCTCTAGCTCAGATTTTCCATGGAAGTTAACTTTTACTTAGCACCAACCACATCAATTTTATCCCACTCTTCTTGCATTAATTTTCAAAGTCCGTTTGGTGTTCTTGGATTCCATTTTCCCAAGGTTTGTTTTAACAACTCGAAAGGACTAATATCCATAGAAGTGAAAGTGATTTTACAGGTATTTAATTTAATTGGTTATATTTTATTCTTATTTCTGATTCTTCCTTTGCTAAATAAATGCCAGTTTACATAAACGTGTGACTAAGTCTATATGAAGCTCGAATTTATTGTTTTTCTTTCAATATAAGACTTCAATTTCATTTTCAAAATTTGATTCTGAAATGTTCTGTTGATAGTACAGTGAATTAATTTTACCCTTACATGAAACTTTTTTCAGATTTAATTTACTGATATAACAAAATTCTGCAAATATCATGAATTTTGTTGGAACTTTTTCTGTATATTAACGCACTTCCTACAGTCTATTTTCACGAGCAATAGAAAATTAATCTTTTATTACAGTTACTTACCTCTGTCTCATCAAGTATTACTACACATTTCCATTTATCAGCAGCTAGATGTTTTTCATAATATTTTTTATAATTTGTTTTTTTAACTGAAATATGCTTTGGACAAAAGGATATGAACTTAAGGTTTAAATATCTTAACCCATTAACCGCTGGTGTTGTGTTGAGGCTGGTGTTGTGTTGACGCAATGGTCAAAATAAATGTGTATATACATATAACTACCTAAGATATTTAATACCAGCAGATGATTTTGTGTAGGGAATATTATGAAGATTATTTCTGTAAAAAAATATTTGCCTTCAACATCATTTTGTTTATAATAATTAATCTCATACTTTAAGCAAAATTTAAGCAAACTTTTCCACCCGTATTTTTTCTGAAAATATTTAATGAAAGTGGTCTTTATGAGTGATCTATTTTTAGTCAAGGTCACCATTTATCAGAACGTTACATCAGTCAGATGTTTATATTTGTGTTGGGAAGGAAGGAAAAACAGGTGTTGCCCTGAGGGTAGTCTATCTCTTTTTTCACTCATTCCTTTGGATGTTCTGGTTCATGTTCTGGTTGTTTAAAAATGCCTAGAATAAGGTATCTTACATTAGAAGAAGCACTTCAAAGATTTTTTGATGAAGAAACAGATGATGATAATGTTAATAAAGACCAGAATGAAACTGATATTGTTGTTGTTCCCCCAGAAATTGCAGAACCTAGTGACGAAGAAGAAAGGAATGGCAATGTTTTAAATAATGATAATGATATTTTACTAAATGATACTGCTGGGGAAGTTGAATTTCACGTAAAAAGTAAGTTTCAGCCTTCTAAAAGCAGTTATAGTCACACCAAAAAATTTAAAAAGCAGGAGACTGAAATCTTGAAGTGGATAAAAAAGGAACTGTTAGTTATGTCTCAGGAAGAACATGAACAAAGAAGAGAAATTATAAAAGACAAAATACAAGGTAAAACTAGTGCACATATTTTCGATCTTCGTTTTGGTTTAGACATTTACTCTCTTCTCGTTAAACAGACAAATATATACGCTCAGCAAAAAAAAAAAAAAAAAAGCCCAAAATTTATTGCATCTGAAGCCTATAGGAGAAGTTTATTGAAATATTATTGCTTAAAGGATATCATTCTTTACCTCAAAAAAATGTATTGCTCTTTTGATAAGGACATTTGTGTTCCAGTTGTATGAGAATCGATATCACGTTTGCAGTACAGGAATATGAAGC